TGGTTCAGGGAAACAGGAAGAAGTTGAGTCCATCAGGTGTAACTCAGTCATTCTCTTGTGAAGGCCCCCTGGGGACTCACATGGGTGATGTTACTATTTTGGGTAAAGGGCAGGATTCTCACAATTCTCTCTGGCCCCCAACAAGCCACAGGGACTTGTAGTGCCAGGCTTCACTATAAATGTTGGAATGTATGGATTGATACAAGGGCATTTCTTCTTTTTCCTTTTTTATGTGTGTTGGCGTATATACATGTGAGTGTGTGAGTGTATGCACCTCCGAGCATATATACAGTGGCTAGCATAGAATGTCAAGTGTCTTCTTCTAATATTCTCCTAATTGCCTCAAGACAAAGTCTTTCTGGAAGCTCACTGTTTTTCCTAGACTAGCTGACCAGAAAGCTCTTGGCTTCAAATGGTATTCCTCAAGGTATTGAGGTTTCATGTACAAACATCCATGCAATGGGTGTTATGGTTCCAAATTCAGGTCCTCATGCCTTCACAGCACGAGTTCTGACCCACCGAGCCGTCTCTCCAATGCTCCATTGCTTACAGAGATGATGTCATGGATTTTATCAGTTCCTTCCAGTTTCGTACTTAGATAATAAGCAAATTAGGAGTTGGACTTTGCTGAAAGGACAATGTACACTTGTACTCTCCAAGAGGGACCGAGTAGAAACGGTCTCACATGCAGAGCTCTGTGTACACACACGTTTGCATCCAGTGCACAGGGGACACTGAATTCATTTACTACACATCCATCCTCTTACCCCATCCCTGCCAGCCCTGCAGGATATCAGAACGTCCTGAGCTTCAGATCAGTTGACTGGAACTTCTGGGAAACTGCCGTAGGTCTATGTGTACCCAGAACCTTTGGAGCCATCTGCAGAGACAAAAGACTTGAACCGTTCTGAGGCTCATCTTTCTGCTCAGCAGTGCCGGCCTAGTGATTAGAACTCAGGCAAATGCTACCTCCTGGCATGCAGGCAAGAAGAGAAGTCTGGTCTCTTTGATCATCATCATCAGTGTCCTGGACTTAACTACTGTAACATCCACATCCACTCCCCTGCCTGAAAGTATCTTTGTGGAAATCACCAAGGATGTGTACTAACTCTAGAGTTCCTCTCCAGCCCTCATTTAAGCAAGATTTCTTACCCTTTTGTGGCAGATATCAAATCAATTTTGACTTCTGCTTGAACACTCAGTGAAACAGCATTTTGTGGCCTCCTGCAGTGTGACTGTGGGAATCTCCCCAGGGGAAGTGCTATGGGCCAATTATGACCTGGTACTTGTATCTGAGGGGGTCTGGCTCTCTCTCTTTTTTCTTCAATGTCTTTACATCTACTTAGCCAACATGGCAATTTATGATAAAGGTGAACTTCAAAAGAAGGAGTAGCAGGGTAAGGTGGTCTAGGATTCTGTCTAACTTCCCCACAACTGATATGCATCATCTCTTACCCCGCCTTCCCCAAACTGGGCTTATAGGAAGAAGTTGTGCTGAGCCATCACATATGGGAGTCTTTGCTTCTTGCTGCCCCATTAAAAGCATATTTTTCTTCTATTTCTAAGACACCACTTTCTCTAGAAGTCTCCTTCTGCCCCTCTGACCAGTCTTCTGCCAAAGTCTTGAAAAAGAGAATGTTCCCCAAGGCCTGATTGCCTTATCTCCCCTTTGCTCATGCCACATGATGACTGTCTTGGTTGTCAACTAGACTAGATCTGGACACGACTACAACCCAAGCCACTAGGCATTCCTGTGAGAGACTTTCTTGATCAGATTATTTGAAGCAGGAAGACACACCGTAATTGTGGGCAGTGCATACTGGAGGCAGCCCAGATAAAAGGGCATGGAAGATGGAAGCTTCAGCTTTTTGCTTGCTTGCCTTTACTCTCGCTGGCGAGTGCATCTATCCTGTGACTGAGGCATTCCTTCGCTAGCATCAGAAGCATATTCTTGGGGCTTCCAACATAGTTTGAAGACCAGCAGCTCTGCAGGAATGCTCCAGGACTGCAGAGACATCCAACCTTACAGACTAGGCAACTAACTACAGGCTGCAATTGCTGGACCACCTGGACTATATCATGTAAGCCAATCTACTAAATTACCTTCTGATGTATACATATTTATTCCATCAGCTTTGTTTCTTTGCAGAGCCTGGTCAATATACTTCATATGCTATTTCTGTTTTCTAGAACTATTTCCCTCCCTTTTCTGTCCCTAGGGCTTTATTCACTTATCTATCTGTTGATGGTCCCCAAATCTATCTCTATCCCACATTCCAAAATTCACCGTCTTTAGCCTCCAAACTTTATTCATGTGTATATTCTCTCTAACCCCCAGTCCTTCCCCCTTCAAGACCTTTGTCTCCAACATTCCAGCTCTACTCAACCGCTAGTACGCTGGTTATACATCTCAAAGGCCGCACAAAGCGACCTCCAGCAAGCTGCCAGTCTGTGCATCTCCACCTCTCCCCGCCTTGTTCATCCCTGCCCTTCATCTACACAGCAAATCCCCGGGTGTCTCACTCACTCTGCCTTCCCAGCCTGTTCCCCACACTTTGGTCACACCTACTGATCAGAGCATATCCACAGCTTAAGCTTTATTTAGGCTCAGTGTTTTGCGGGGTTTCCACCCGTGATTGTAGGGAGAGCATAGCAGAGCAGAGAAGCCAGTGGTGGAGGGAACATGAGACAGATTCGTGGATATGGAAGCAGACTAGAAACTGGAGAGCAGGATCAGAACCAAGAGCTAGTCACCCGCTTCTGCCAGCTAGGTCCCAACCCTTAAATACGCCAGAGGCTCCCAACATAGGGAGCAGCTGAGAAGCAAACATTCAAAATGAGTGTCTGATGAAGACCTTACAGATTTATACATACACTTCCTCTCTCTCTCTCTCTCTCTCTCTCTCTCTCTCTCTCTCTCTCTCTCTTCCTCTCTCTCTCCACAGTAAATACACACACACACACACACACAAATACACCCATACACACACATACACACACATACCCATACACTCACTCACTCACTCACTCACTTGACCATTACAGACCTCTGCTTTTCTGTTGTTAAACTAAGCAATAATTATGGCTACCCTGGGGAAGAGTTGAGTTTTGGACCGTCTCTGTTCTGTTAGAATGCCTCTAAATCCCTTCACTGTGGTCTCTAGCCAGTCAAGTTGCAATGAGTTTGCTTGTCTGTCTCCAATAACGAAATCTACTGTAGATTCTCTGAGATCAGGGAGAGATCTGTGCATCTCTCACCTACCATCTTGCATGGCAGCAGTCTGCTTGCTCAGTGGATAGAGCGTGAGTGAATGACACTAGCACTTTCCATAGATGGATTTGATTTTCAACAGCTCTCCTTGGGTGGATACCCAGTCATTTCTAGTCTTTGAAAGCGAGTTGAAGAATGGGATCGAAAATATGCTAAGTTCCCAAACATGTGTGAACATGGATTAGGAGCTATGCTAACTGATACAGTGGCCTCCAGCCGCTTGCTGTCAGCCGACATTGAAACACTGCTAACGTGACTGAAGCTGTACTGCAGACACAGCATAGCCACACATTAGACTTGATATTTCAAAGAATGAAAATGACTTAGCTAGCATTTATTCCATAAATAACATTTTGGATTAAGCTAAATCTATTATTAAAAGTAATTTTCCTCATTTCTCTTTGGTTCCCTAAAGTGACAATTAAAATACATTAAAATCACATGCAGAGTTAAGCAGAACTGGCTTAGACTCTAATTTCATGACAGTAGTCAGTGTAGATTAAGAAGGAGAACATTGCCTGTGAGTTAAATAAGTGTTTCCCTTTTTTGTCTCTAAAATCACACATTCGAAAAGAAGGGGAGTAAAAAAAAGATGCTGAGACTGAGGAAAAAGAAGAAGGCAGGGAGGGAAGACGAGATGGAGAATATGTCTGTGCTGTTTTAGAGAACAGCTCAGTGTGGGGAGTTTCACTCCTGTGACTAAGCATTTGGTGATCAAAACTGTCCTTTTGGTTCAATATAACTTTTTGATTTCTTCTATAATAATAGTTTTATATTTTATAATATTCCATTTTATTCAAACACTAAGACAGCCTTAACTATATCTAGATATGAAACATTAATGGATAAAGAAGGAAGGAAGGAAACAAAAATAGAATTCAGAGTTGACAGTGACTCTGTAATGGTCACTAAAGCATCTCTTATGGAGACAGAAGTGTTGCCGCCATCTTTGCTCCAAATCTGAATGGATTATTTAATTCTGCTTCTCATGACCTCAATCAATGGAGCATCAGCTTTAGGACCCTTATTTGATCAGATTAACTATCTGATCAAATAATAAGGTCTATGTTATAATAAAGTTTCATAGTTCGTTTTAAATTGTAAATTTCTTGCTAAATAGAATTATGCAATAGTCATCACTATTTTAAGTGAGTCTCATTTTAAAGAGATTATAATACTATTATTTTATTATGCAAATAAAACGTCAGGGAAACAGTCATTTCATATATTGGTTTCTGGATCATTGGTATAGTATCATGATACTGTAGTAAAAACATTGGTTAGAAAATGTGGAAATTTTTTTGTAATTTTTTTGTGTATTTTATTTACATTTCAGATGTTATCCCCTTTCCTCATCCCCCCCACCCAGAAACCCCCATCCCATCCCGCCTCCTCCTGCTTCTATGAGGAAATATGTATTCTTGTCATTTCCAGTGTTTCACTTCAAAACTGGGTAGTAGACAATTTCCACCAAACTCCAGATTTTGTAATAGAAAGAATTGCCACACCTGTTATCTTTCAGCCAAAAGTAGATAACCTTTTAATATAAAATCCAAAGTCATAGGGTGGAGTCCCATCTCAGATGTAAAAGATTTACAAATTCTTTAAGGTTTTCCTCCATGTTAAGAAAAAGAACTGTTTAAAAATGACAACAAAACAAAAAGCCAAGGAGACATCAACAAAAGACACCTGCTGTCTCTTGAATAAACCTTAGAACCTGGTTTCTTACCGTTCCTCATCTGCTCCACCTCACAGAAGTGTGTTCCCGTGGGGGTGTGGATGAACGCGTGGACGTGCTTGACTCCGTACTGAAAGGGAGGACCAAGCTGTTACCAATCACATGCCAGCACAAACCACACTAACAAGTTCTTTCATTAAACTAGGAACATAAATGATGAAACCTTTTCAAAACGCTTCCAGGGGACCTCTTCCATGTAGACGTGGGCTCGGGTGACGTGGTTAAAGGAAGAGAGGAAGTGTTCACAGATGCTCATAGCAAAAGTCTCAATGCTTTTGATCTGTAAAGAAAGAGAGAAATACTCTTCATCAAAAACATCTCATTTAAAAGATTTGCTTGTTTTGTTTATTTTGAGATTAGGGCTTCTTGACTGTACAACTTCATCTGACCTTGAACTACATCTAGGATTATAAGCCTCTGTATCTGGCTTAAAGTATGTTTTGTTTTGTTGTGTTTGTTTAAGATAAGCCTCAAAGTTTAGCCCCAGGCAAACAGCAAGCTCAAGGCTGTTCTTCTCCATCAGCCCCCAAGGGCTCCACTAGACCCAGCCAAGAGTAATTGCTAAACACATATGGAGCTCTTTCCGGATGAGCTGTTTCTCCCAAAGAGAGAAACACAGAATTAGGATCTAAGGAGATAATATAGGCCGATCCTGGTTTTTCTCAACTGTTCCTGGGGTGGGTCATAGATTTCTATCACCGAGGAAACTCTATCTTGATACTACTTTTATTACTTTTATTATTTTTTTCATTTTACATATATGGTTATCTTGACTGCATGCATGTCTGTGCACCATGTTCATGTCTGGTGCCATAGTAACCAGTGGAGGGTATTGGATACCCTGGAACTCGTGTTACAGGTGCTTGTGAGCCACCATGTTGGTGTTAGAAGTGGGACCCACTGGTGCTGGAAGAGCAGCCAGTCTCTTCACTGATGAGCCATCTCACCAGCCTCTTCATGTATTTAAGGGAAGCCTGCTTTGCATGAAAGGAGGTATCAGCAGATAAAAAAAACAGTAGCTGTATTCCTGAGTCTTTTCTCAGGGAGCTTGTGATACTGGGTCTTTTCATGAGCCTTGCAAATAGGCTGCAGTGTTTCCAAAGAAAAAGTCAACCCTTAGGCGAGTCTGCTCGAGCATCTCCACAGTGGGAAGACCCACCCTGAGTGTGGGTGTGCCCATCCCATCTCCGGGGATCAGAGAACACATAAAAAGGAGAAAGCAAGCAGAGCCTCAGTGTTCGTCTCTCCTCTTCCTAACTACAGCTACAACGCAGCTAACTGCCTACTCTGAGTGCCGTGACCAACCACTTCCCAAATTGTGTAGCAATAATTCTTCACCCGTGGGCCTCAAACCCTTTAGCTTTCACCTATCAGATGTTTACTTTACGATCCGTAACAGTAGCAAAATTACGGTTGTGATCTACCCTCAAACCACGAGCCAAAATAAACCCTCTTCCCACCCTAAGTCGCACCCCCACGTCCTGGAATACGGGGTATTTTGTTACAGCAAGCAGACAACTCAACCAGGAGACAAAATTTGACAATAGATTTTGCCAATAAAGTAGAGTATCTTATAATTGATGCTCTCTTCGGTTGTACAACAATGGCACTTTCTGCTACAAATGCACGTTCTAAAAGTGATAGAAGAAACGCATGAGAAATGTGCTAAATCTAGTCTGAAATCCTCCTGTGACCTTGACCTGCCCATCATTCTGACGGGAGGTAACGAGTTAATTTGCCCAGGAGCTTCTTTTCTTAGCTAACGAAGTAAATTAAATGAATAAAATGGAGCAAGCTTTTCTGTAAGCCTGAAGAGTTTAGGGTAAAAAAGAAAATTTTAAAAATGGCATATATGCAAAAATAGGTTAAAAGGAAATGAGAGCTAAAAAAAAAAGCAAGTTCCGCCCCCACTGGAGCTCGCGCTGAATGTGGACCAAGAAGGAGCAAGCATCTAAGAATGATTTATACCCCTTTGAACTTCGCCAGGGCGTGCACTGTGTTCTTGATGGTGTCTGTAGGGATGATATCGGAATTATCACCATATAGGTAATCCTTTTTGGATCTCAGAGTCAACTGCACCGAAGTCGCCACCTCTTTGATGCTGTGGTATTTTCCATCCCTCTGAATATGGAGAACTTTGACCATGTCCTTCCCATAGCCGGTTCGGACAAATTCCACTTCATCATTCTGTAATGAAAACATAACTGTCTGATAGAGGAAGGCTACGCGATGCTAAACATGCCAGCTGCAGTCTTCCTAGCTTTTCATTTCATCAGACAACTATAACAGGTGAGATCCAGAACACTTAGGAAAGCAATATTTTGCCCAATCTTTGAATATATATATCAGAATATCCCGAGGACAGATAGGCAGACGGCTTTCTTGATAACAATTTTAAACATTTACTTAATTTTAATTATGGATGTGTATGAGAGTTTGTGAATATGAGTGCAGGTGTCCATAGAATCCAGAGCTGTCAGGTCCCTTGAGCTGGAGTTACAGGCAGTTCTGAGTCACCTAATGTGGGTTTGCGGAATTAAACTCAGGTCATCTGCAAGAGCAGTATGTGCTCTTATCCCCTGAGCCTCTCTCCAACCTCTCTTGATAATGATTTTTGAACCTCCTGTGTCAAAGCTACATCCCATCTGTAAACGTGGCCTGTCCCTGTAGCAGCTGTGATGTCTTACAGAGCATGGGCAAAGATGAAGTGGCTTGCCTTCCTTCACATGGTTAGTAAAGGCAAGGTTATATACATACTCAGGTCTGTTAATGCCAAACTATACAGTGGCCACCATGGAAACCAGCTTTCATCTAGAAAATTCAATGACTGTATTAACTGGAAATACTTCCATGCTCCCGCACCCATTTTTTAAAATGTGATGTTTCTGAGAAAATGCTCTATGATAATGGAAACAATTTGAAAATTGCCTTCTCTATTTGCTGCCAGGAAGGAGATGGGTAATTGCTGATAGGATCCAGAATATCATCAGGAATGTAGAGCCAGGGCCATCGGACTGCAGGGAGAGCTGAGCCTCTAATGGAGAGACACTTAATGAAGGGCTGTTGATTTATTCATTAAGACCTGCATCTGAAGCTGAAGCCTTAGCTAGTGAACTCATCCATTTCCACAGCTGGCATCCACCAGACTTGTTGCTAGGTGTTTGAGAGGCACAAAGAGTCGAAAAACTGGATAGCTGTTTAGCCTGGATATTGAATATTAAAGTGGTAATGAAAGTAGTAAAAGTGAAAGCAAGCAGCAAACAACGTACAATATAGACACAGCGCACACACAGTGCACATACAGTGCACACATGGTGCACATAGAGTGCATTCACAGTGCACATACAGTGCACACATGGTGCACATAGAGTGCATTCACAGTGCACATACAGTGCACACATGGTGCACATAGAGTGCATTCACAGTGCACATACAGTGCAGACACAGTGCACACACAGTGTGCATACAGAGCACATACAGTGCATACACAGTGCACATACAGTACACACAGTGCACATACAGTGCACACACAGTGCACATACAGTACACACAGTGCACACACAGTGCAAACACAGTGCACATACAGTGCACATACAGTGCACATACAGTGAATATACAGTGAACATACAGTGCACACACAGTACACACACAGTGCACACACAGTGCACATACAGTGAATACACTGCACGTCTGGGTAGAACGTCAGGAAACCTCTCCTGCTGCTCTCATTTTAGGATACCAGGGATTGCCTAAAAACCTTTGGGGACATCTTCAAAACAAGGATCAATAAGGCCCTGGGGACACAGCTCAGTTGGTAGACTGGGCTAGGTTCCATTCATCCATAGTAGCACATAGACTGGGCATGGTGGTGCATGCCTGCAGTTGTAGCACTTGGGAAGTGGAAGCAGTAGAATCAGAACTTCAAGGTCATTCTAGGCCACTTAGGCAGGTCAAGCCTAAGATACACAAGACCTCCTTAAAGAAACATTCATGTGGAAAATAGAATGCCAGTAAGAAATATGACTTACTGTGAAATATGGAATAAGAAATATCATGGCTTTTTAAAGAATTGTAATGGTGGCAGAGAAGGAGAAGCTGTTATGTTGTTGCCATAGCTTTGGGATCAGTCCAGACCCAACTCCACTTGCCACTTCTAGCCTGGTGGCTTGTGACAAGTGGTTGAATGTCCCTGAACTTCAGTGACATTGGCACCTATAAGGATAACCACCAGCACTGAGTGGGGTGGCTGGGGACTCTGCAAGCTCCAGCTTTCTTCCTAGTAGCAATAGTGGCCTTGCCAGGTAGTTGGATGTATCTGCAGCAGAGATGACGTTGGTTAAGGATATTGACTTGTTAACATCAGACACTGTTAACACCAGAATGTCCTGAGCTTAGGGGAGTCTAGCGAGGGGAGGAAGGGACTTGGATGCTTAAGCCCCTGTGATAGCATGGGGGTGATGGGCCAAGATCAAACGTCTCTGAGCATATAAATCATCTCTGTCTTGTGGAAGCACTCTACTCCTCAGTCCATCTTCTGCCCTTGCACATCTGAGCTGTAGTAGCTTAGCCTGCGAGAACACGGGGTATCCAGCAGACATGCAGCGTGACCCCTGAGCCTGTAGTCTACACAGCATCTCCAGTGGCTTGTGTGTTCTCTCCTCAACTCTGCTGCTACCATTCTGAACTCATTGTGGGTCAGGTACTTCCTCTACCTTAGGCCTTGCATCTTTCCTTTCAAACTTCCCTTTCCTTCTCCCTCCCTGACGACCAACCTCTTCACCACCCTTATTTCTCCCAGGCATCCATCATGTCTCCAGTGTTACCTCCTGCAGGTAATCTGTCTTAGCCTTTCAAACATGGGAGTAGGTGGCTCCCCTGATGTATTGTCAGGATGTTTGCTATTGCCTCAGAATCTTTATCAAATTGTATTGCAAGTGCCTCATTCTTGTGTGATTCATTCTGAAGCAATAAACCAGGAAAGCAGGAGAAAGTTCTATGTTGGTCACCATGGCAACCCCAGCTCTCAGCACAGTGCCTGAATCTTAAATAAGACCTTGATAAATGTGTCGTGAATGAACGGATAGTGCTACTAACCACCTCCTCTGCTTGCCTGATGACACAGAACAGCTAATGAAAACACACTAAAGAGTCCAAGACAGGAAGAGTGGGTTCAGTTCTGATGCCATCAAAAAAAAGTCCCCTTCCTGAGGAAACAGGAACAGGAAGGTGGGCCTTCTGAGGACCAAAACCTAAGATCACAGGCATAGGCTGTCCAGAGAAGAGAGGCCCATGGCTGGTGAGATGGCTCAGCAAATATAGGTACCAGCCACCAATTATGATGGCCTCCAAGGACTCATGTGGTGAAAGGAGAGAACCAACTCCCACGACTTGTCTTCTGACTGTCATACATGATAGCTCATGCATTGTGTGCATGCACACACACACAGTCAATTAATCAATCAACAAGAAGGGGGTTGGGGATCCCAGAAAGACAAAATGGAGTGTAGAGGGTAAAGAGAGAGTCCAGCATCCACGTAGAATGTAGCCATCCTAAGCCAACAATTGTTCAAGGCACACTAGAAAGAGAGGTCAGGGCTGCTGAGTAACATCCTAAGCCAGGTGTCCGAGGTCTTGTGTATAATCTCAGCTAAGAAAGGATTATCATTAATTCAAGTCCAGCTGGGGTTACACGGCAAGACCTTGTCTCAGTAAACTGGACCCCTGTTCACGCTTGAGCTGGCTGAGTTTACTGAGAAATGAATCAGATTCAAAGGACCTAACGGCCCTCCTTAGTTCCTTCTCTGTTGCTGTGATAAGACCCCACGATTAAGGAAACTTATAGAAGAAATAGTTTATTTGGTTCCAGAGGCAAGAGTCCACAATGACAAGCAAAGGCGTAGAGGCAAGGAGGAGAAGGCTGAGGGCACACATCTTGAACAGCCTGCATGAAATGGAGAAAGTGAATTCAACAAGGCATGAGTGTTTAAACGCTCAAAGCCTGCCTTCACTGACCTACTTCCTCCAGCAAGGCCACACCTCCATAGACTCCCCCGCCAGCACCAGCCACTGGGAACCAATAGTCAATGCCCAAGTTTATGGGGGCATCTCATTCAAACAAACCACAGCCATTGAACCTGAAGTAGGGGCACCAAGTGTAGCATAGAATACTGGAAAGAACTGGTAAATAATAGCCTGCTTAAGAACTAAGGCCATCTTCCTCCAGTTCGGTAGCCAAAGAATAGGAAGTCAGTGTTGGAACCCAAACGTGTACAATGCAGGTTGAGATCTACAGCCATGGCAACTATTTAGTGTGTAAAGATGGCATCATTTGGAGAGGATGGCCTTTGACTGAGGCAGCTCTGGTGGGGGGGAGTCTTCGTTCAGCTACCACTAATTCCAAATGGATGTAAATTTATCCATCTATATAACTAGAATAATAATAATAATGTCCCCTCTTAGAAGTACAAAGGACACAGCATAAAGCAGCCAGGAGGGTGCCTGGAAAAGATGTGCCCGATAAATGTTATTTATAATCATCACTGATCAATAGCAATCACTTGCCCGATTTTGCATGAAAGGATCCTTATGGATAGAGATAAATAATTAGGATACACTCCAAATCTGTTCAGAGAGGGCCTGCTTCCAGCTATCTCCCCTCAGGTAACAATGGCCTGATTTGAATTTCCAACTCAGGGAGAACCATACCTTGAATGGCCCTTCCTCAGGCTTGTATGACTTAAGAAGCAACACCATGAGTACAGAGAGACCGTGTCCTACAGTAACACTCTGACCAAATCCTGACCAGGCTCTGTACAAGACAAATCTCCTCTCCTGGATGGATTTTGAAATGTACAGGGATTCAGACTTGTGAACTATCTACAAATAATGTTAGCAAGACCTCTGAGATGTCAAAGGACTCTTCTGAACGTCTGTGTCTACAATGAGTTTGTCAATAGTATTACTTCTAGTTGCACTAAAAGGGGTTTGGTTTTTCATAACAGCTTTAGGGGTTCTACGTCTCAAGTCTGTTAAACTCCTGAGTATCTAGTAGATGTTTTTTTTAATCACGACTATGTGTTTCATGAAGTGGAAATTAAATCTTTGTGTGTTTATGAGAGCAGGTATGGGGTTTTCTAGGGCACAGACACGATTTTATTCCATTATAAAAGAATTGATGGCCCATGAAA